CACGCCGGCGCTGCAGCCAGAAAGGGCCAGCGCGGTGGGGACCCTCCGCTCTGAACGGCTCCGGCGCGGTTTTGAATCGAAGCCGGCCAGCGCGGGAGCAGGGCCCTTGCGATGGGAAGTGGCCAGCGGCTGACACGCAGACCTGCTCTCCGCCTGAGGTGCTGGGCCGCGGTGGCAGGCTCAGGTTCCAGTGGGGAGCCCATGAACGGGGCAGCTCTCCGTTCTCGCCTCCTTCCTGTTCTTCGCTTTATCGGCCCTTTCCCTTTCCCTCTCCCCAAGGAGAAGGTGAGCCCCGGGCAGTTGGGCGAGGGGCACGTGCGAAGGCAGCTTTCTAGACTGCTGGAGAAACGTGGGCTCTGTTCGCCCAGAGCTGCCCGTTGAAGCGGGTCCCTCGTGGCCGGCTGGGAGAATGTGGTCTGAAAGAAGCACAGGGCTCTGCTGGCCACAAGGACTGGACTGTCCACCCTCAACTCCAAGGGATCTGGGGGATGAGCTTGGTATCACAGGGGTCTGGTGGCCAAGTTTACGTTTTTGCTAAGAGGTCACTTGGGCACTCAGTACTTAGAACCTGGCTTGTTCCCATTTTCCTACGTTTTATATGTGATTGGTTGGCGCCATCCCCTGGCCAATGTTGGTACTGTCACGGCCTGGAGAGCAGGAAACGGACCTTCTCGGGAGCGTCTGATAGCACTAAGCCTTCCTGATTTTCAGTGGCGATTCTGCAGTGTCACAGCTTCAGCAAACTGCAACGCAAAGAATGTGTTTCAGCTGTGACAGAGCTACAGTTAACTTTGTTTTAAATGCTTTGAAAGCCCTCTTTCAAAGTCATAACAGTTGTGAAAAGAAAAAGAAACCGTACATTGTTCTAAATGGGTTTCCCGAGGCAGGCGGATGCCCGTAACCGCTTGCATGGATTTGCTTGTGCGTTGGCCTCCCTGGTCTCCCTGCACAAGAGCTGAGCGCCAAGCCTTGAGGGTCCTCTCCCCCCAGCGGTGTGGAGTTCTGCAGCTGAAGCTGACGGGGAAGCGGAAGAGCGTGCAGGACTAAGGGGCAAATGCCGTCCAATACCTTCCCAGTTGGGGGTTGACATTTGTGGAGGAAGGAAAACGGGGATGAGTGCAGATGTTCTAGGTTTCTGGGGTATGGCGTGGAAGGGATGGGCGCTGTCTTTAAGAGAGCAGGATCCTCGGAGCATTTAGAGCGTCACTTAGAGTAACAAAGCGTGACTCTCATTTGGCAATATTCTGTTAGCATTAAGGATGCTAGGCAGCTCATAAAACTATGTAGTCAGGTTTTGGGGGTTTTTTGAGTTGTCCCTTAATTGTTGGAGATATTTACCTCTAGACATGTTCTCCTAATGCTGCAGAGTTGTGCCTTAAGCAGTTCAATGCATTTCTCATATGATCTGTGTGAAGATGTGACACAGAAAGGAAATAGATTCTTCCTGGTATCTTTTATCTTCTCCAGTGTGTTCCTTCTGCACACTTGGAGATGGTGAATGATGAAAGTTTCTCATCTGGAAATAAGATTCCCACGGTTCTCAATACGTTCTTTGGGCTGAGTGACAGCAGTACAGCTCTTCTTGCTGAGCAGAGTATAGCAATGTTTTTAGAAAAACTTTGTTTAGGGAAAAAAAATATATATTAGTATGAGAGGTTTGTAAATTGTAATGTTTATATTTTGTTTTTTAAAGAAACTCAGCCAAAAAAATGTTTGTAGGTTCCAATGGTACTGGTCTTTCTATTATCTGTTCTATTATCGGTGACCAAATTACTTCAATCACATAACTGTCAGAAATAAGAAAGATATATATACTTATTCACCTGAAGTATGATCTTTCAGCTGCAACTGGTGTTCAAAGGTCTTTGAGAAGGCAAATGACACGACCCACAATTTGCTTTTTCCTTAGCAAGACTTGTATAAAAGTTCCACATGCATTTCATGTTTGAGGATATATAGGTACCAATCTATTCTAATAAATGCAAAAATGTATGAGGCTTTAAATCCCTAAAAGGTTTCATTCTAAATTATTAGGCTTTTTTGTCCCTTGAGCATTTTAGTAGTACCGTTTATTTGACTTCAGACAAGCTTACCTTGGAAGAGAAGAGAAAAGAATTAAGTTTTTTTTCCTTTCTAATTAGAATTTTTGGTTTCTTTTGTTAGATGCTCAGATTTTGCAGCTAAAGATCGTGTAGCCTGTAGAGGGAAGGTTGGCATTTCAGGTATGTTTATTTTCTGCCGTCTACAAAGAAATTGTGCTGATCTGGCTCCTATCTTGCAGCGCAGCATCTTTCTGCTTAAATGCACACTCCATCTTTCTGTCCTTGGGTCTAACTAGGCTTCAGTAAGTTGGATCGCTTGGAGAGAAAATTCTTTCACCACCTTAATTTTAAAGGCTCTCTTGCAGTCCAAGGCAAAAGAGCCGTAGAGAGCAGAGACTAGTGACCAGGTGGGGAGGAGGCAGGCCTTCTAGTGGACCTGTTGGGATAGATCCTGGCATCACCAGTGTTGTCATCAAAGTGCCGCAGATTTTATTTTATTTTATTTTATTTATATGCTGCCCATCTCCCCCAGAGCGTGACTCCAGGTGGCCCACAGTTAAAATCAAACCTCAGAAACAGTTAAAAATATAAATATTCACATTAATTTAGTTAAAAAATCAAACTATATTAAAAAAAACAACTATATACATAAAAAGACTAAAACATTTAAGATGACGGGGGGGGCAGAATGAAATACCCCACGAGCCAATTCCAGTGATTATAGATTATCCATACCGTAACATTTGTGTTGGGAGAAGAGGGGACACACCAACAGTGGGACAGGAAATATTTTAGGCCATTTCTGCAGTAGCCCTTGGATGGGAGGGGGGTGACATCGTGTGGATGGTTACTCAGACATCTTTGCGCGCTGCTAAGGATGAGCCCAGAGTCTCAACATGTGCAGCTTCAGCTTCTCATTCCCTCCCCCCTCATTTTATCCTCTTTATTGTTCCTTTATTTCACCTGTAAGCTTTGGGGGCAGAAATCTCATGTGGCCCTCTCAGTGGGCTCAACTTTTAGTTCTGAGAGATTCCCAGATCATGCCTGTTTGGTTATAATTTTCCCTGAATCGTGCCTCCCGGCAGGCTTTTGTTACTTCATGTGACTTCAAGCAAGACGAGACCCGTTGTCCAACTAAACCCTAAAATGGTTCAGAGCTGAGGCTCCTGAGAGTAGATCGGCAGGGGGATTTGTTGCTGAAGGACACGGTTTTGCGAACGCACTCTGTCGAGTGAATTTGGCCGAGGCCTCACCTCTTTTGCCTCCTGCTGCCGTTCCCGTTGCGCTGTAGCTACGGCCCCCTTGCTTGAGCCTCCTTCCGGAGCCAAGGACTTTGAGTTTTCAATGTCAATGAGCAAGTAGTTTTAGTAAGCATAATACTGAATGTAATGCCTCAGTGTGTATGCCAAGTTCTGGGTTGCATCTCTTCATCTGAAAGCCAAGTTTATCCTGGTTTTTCCCCCAGTGCACAACGGCCGCCCCTTAATAGCCACTTGCTGAGCCCTACAAGTTACTGTTGGTGGGGCCACAACAAATATTCTTCACAAAATGCAGTCATACAGAATTTTCGTGAGGTGCTGGAATAATCAAGGAACCATCACAATCAGTTTTGCCTGCCCTGTCTTTCTTCTTTCTTGCCAGGCCAGACGTGTGGCCCCAGGTGAACTGGCATGGGGGTTTGATATATCCTGGGCTAGATGGTGGGCCAAGCTGGCCCAAGAAGTCTGCTTCAGGTCTGGAAATATCTCGCATTTTCTAAGACCCTTGAACAGAGTCCAGGTGTGGGTGTAAATCAGCAGCTGCTGTTGAGCTGCGCTCCTTGGCCTGTAAGTTGTGAAGTCCCCGAGCCAAACAGAAAGATGGTCTGGACGGTCCAACGAGTTCAACATAGGCTGAACACGCTTCTCCTAGGATTCTGAAGAGACTTTCACTTCTCTTCAGAATTCAGACTTTCACTTCTGATTGTAAAACCCTTCACGGAAGATATCTTTCCATTTGACCTTGTAAAAGGCTACCAATAAAAACTCTGTAATTAACACTGAGTGTTGAGATACAGTGTGCCTGCCTTATTCTAGCAAAGGAAGAAAATAGAAACTTCTGAATTTTTGGATTGTGTTAGGCATACAGTGTGGTGTCCCCAAGCTTATTTTTCTCTCTTTGTTTTAGATTTACGAATTCCATTGATGTGGAAAAACTCTGATCATTTCAACAACAAAAACAGTACGTATTTAGTGGAAGCTCTTCATGGTGATGGTGATTCAGTCCAGAGCATTATCTAGAATGAATTCTCAAGGGGAATGTCTGTACGTGTCACGCTGCTGGGAGACATGCTGTTTTCGCTGCCTTCCCCTTCCCCAGACTGATTTCACTTTTAGTTTCTGTAAGTTTGGAGATGCTCAATACAGCAAAATATTCTAATCCCTCATTCCTCATTCATGATTTTGCAGAGGCTGTCGGTAGGGTTTCTCTCTCTCTCTCTCTTCTCTCTTCTCTCTTCTCTCTCTCTCTTTCTCTCAATGTAATCTTTTTGGGACAAAATTAATTTTAAGAGTTTTGAACTTCCAGACATGATGTATGCTCTGAATATAAACCCTGATGAATTTCTGAGCTATTGGGGGGATTTTTAAAGTTCATTTGTAAAATAAGAGATTTGCTAAGTTATTTGAACACGAAGGACATAAATCCGGTTACTTATTTCATTGTTTACTGTTTGTATTATATTAAGCTATATTTTATTACTGTGTTGCATTCGCTGTATGCGACACCGAGAGACCCTAAGGATTGAAGCAGTCAGTAAATCCTACAAACAAACAAACAAATAAATAAATGCCTGCTGAACTGTGTGTGATGCAACAAGTTATTTTGAAGTGTTCTGTTTTTTGTTTTCTGTTTTGCAGGAACCAAGCGTTACTCAGTTTTTTGCTTACTCAAAATAGGAGCCCAGGTGTATGATTCAGACTTGCTTATTGTGGATAATGCAGTAACAGACATATGCTTAGAAAATGCAACGATATTGTGAGTATTCCTGACCCAAATTGCACTGTTTTAAAATCTTAGAAAACGCAGCTTCATCTGGGGCAGTCTCCACCCGATGAATAACTCTGGAAGCAGCAGGTTCACAAAGGCTAAACTGTAAATGTTGCTGGGGAATACGGGAGACTGGCCCACTCCTGGTGGCTGAGGAATCCACGGGTGGGCGCCTGGCCAGGGTCAGATGCAGAGGTCGTGCTGCACCAGTGCGCGTGGCAAGGGCTTTGGGGGTAGAGCGGGCCTGTCAGTCACGGGCAGGCGCTCCGGCAAATGTAGGGGCTGTTGTGATGGCCTTGTTTGTGTCTGCTGATTTCTGTGTTCCTGCGCTGTTAGTATCTTACGTGTAGATTTTATTGTGTCACTTTTAAATTGTGCTGGAAGCATTCTGCTGAAGAGCAGCCAATGTATTAAACAAAAACCAGAAATATTAGCTTTATTTGATTTTTAAAATGATCAGTCCTTCTGAAACATGCCCCATTCTTTCTAGTGAGGAAGCCGGGCCAGATTTCCAGCTGAAGGTGGAGGTCTACAGTTGTTCCTGTGAGGACGACGTCTTGACCCTCACAAACACCCCCAGGAAGCTGGTCAAGAAGTTGAAAACCTCAGTGGGAAAAAGCACTGGGAAAAAATTCAGTTCTGCCTTAGACAGAAGCAACCTCGAGACTCCCCTGCTCACAGAAACAGTCCTACCGTGAGTGAATTAGGATCTGGGGAGCTGTGTCAGATGGGGGGTTTCTCAGAGTGCTTTCCATGTCTGGACCAGTTAAGTTCTAGAAATCTACCTTCTTGCTCTCCTGAAAGTGGGCGAAGCGATTCGGATAACCTGGCGTTCTGTGCCCGCACGTGTCCCTGTGTGCGGGCTGCCCCCCAGGCAGACCAGTGGGGGAGTCACAGGGCTTGGAGTGTGTGTGCGCGCGTGCATGTGCGGGGATCGGTTAGTGCAGTGGCTTTTCCCAGGAAAGCGTTTGTTTGTTTGCTTGTCCAATTTCTGTAGCCGGCCTTCTCATATACGTGACTCTGGCTGGCTCCCCAAATGCGCTGAGAGATGGCGGGGGCCAGTCTCCAGCTGTGGGAAGAGGCCGCAAAGTTGCTGCCTTCCCTGATGCGCCTGGTCTGTGCTCTCAGTGGGTGCTCACAGGCTCATGGGCTGGAAGGCCACGTTTTGGCACCGTGGAGGGGTTACGGTGGGTTCCCGCAGCTTGCTTGGAAGTTTTGTGATATCCCATTTAGCATTTGCCTTGCTGGCACATTGCCTCCTGTCCTCTGAAACGTGGGAAGGGTTATTTGCCTGGAGGAGGTGTGAGGCCTCGGAAGGGCCATCCTAAAGGCCCAGGGCCACCCTTTCGCTGGGACGGTCCCTGACGCCCAGCAGCCTGTGCCAGCCCCTCCAGGGAAAGCAGCTGGGCCAGGCCTTGGAGGTGGGAGGTCGGCCGGGCACCGCAGCAGGCAGGGTGCGTGTGGCAGGGGGCCTACGAGAGAAATTGGCCTGCCCTGCGGGTGGCAGAGCTTCCCCACAGGGTGTGCTGCAGCGGGGGGAAACGTGGAGAGGGGATCGAAGGAGTCAGCAGGTGGGTCTTCCAAGGGCAACCCCAAAGGGGCGTATCGGCAGTCAGAGCCAGGAAGAGAATAAATCTTAATGCATTAATGAGGCAAAATATGCAGAAATTGCTGCGGCATGGAAGCGCCTCTTCCAGTTTCAACAGAATAAGGCTTTCCTGTTCGTCCAAAGATGCTTCCATTTAAGGCAGTAATCTAATTCAAACATATAGCAAAATGCTGCTAGCAGTGCTACTTAGCCTGTTAAATTTGAAAACTGATAAAGATTTGAAGTACTAAGAAATTGGCAGATGGGAACAGTTTTAGGAAACGATATATTGAAGTTAGCCAAAAAAGAGGGTTTTAGAAGGAAAATGTTACCGTGAAGCCTATTTCAATAATGAAGTAGTTTGTTTTCTTTGGCAACACTTGCACTATAAATAGTAAAGATCTCTAACTTCAACATTCAGCACAAAAAGACTTTCATCTTTTTATAAAAAGAAACGCTGCTATTTAAAAGGTAACAAAAAACTTCAGTTATAGATGGCTTGGATGTGTTTGTCTAGCAATTGAGAATCCGGGGCTGGAATCGCTTGAGAACCAACCCTGGTTCCAGTGATTTCCCTTCAAGAGGCTGATGGGAATCGTACCACAACGATCTTTATGCTGAAGAGCGAGGAAAACAAATTGTTGCCCTGCAGTCAGTTTGACAAGGGCAAGGGCTCAGGACAGAAGGTCCCCGAACTCTGTTCTCTTTGGTCTCAGGGTTTGGTGTGTGTGTGTAGATACATTGATATTGTGCTTCTAGGGCTGTACCGCGGCTGTGAGAAGCCACATGAAGAGCTGAGTAAAAGCAAATAAACCTTAATGTTAATTAGGCTCCCAAAGATAAATAACCACAGGACAAAGAAAGGAGTAAGGGCCATCGCTCTAAAAATAATGATGCTGTGGAGACCCCAGCTGAAAGGGCGTCTGCCAGCTCCTTTTCCTCCGGCTGCTGCCACCTGGGCATTGGTGTTTTTTATAAAGAAAATGGCATTCAGGTTTTCTCAGGTGCTTACCGCTCCCAGATGCTAAAAGGAAACGTCCTTTGAAGTTAAATGTATTCAAGCAAGCAGCTTGTGTTGATCTGGGCTTATCGTGAACTCCAATAACTCTCCATGGTGACAAAAGTAAAAAATAGGTTGATGTAGGGCGCTTTGAATTTATGGACTGTAAAAGCCATTTTTCATGTTTATGTTACACGGTTCCAGGGCGTGTGGACAGAAGGCTCAGTTCCTGGTCACAGAAAAACAGAATAAAAAAAACCCCTCTGTGTTCTCGCAAGGGAAAGACAAAGGAGGCAGAACATGCCAGCCATAAATTGCTCGCTTCTCACCTTTGGAGCCATGCTCCTAAACTCATTAGATTGCCTTTGACGGCTAAGCCAACAGCACCCCTCCCTCCCCCTTACGCATATCCAGGCAACAGGAAGCCAGGAGGAGACCCTCGATAGAATCTCGGCTTGTACCGTGCCAATTCCCAATAAAAACTGCTCCCAGTGCAGGTGGAGATGGCTGTGCTTTCAGCGAGACCAAGTGCGCAGTGCCATCCTATCAGGGAGGAAGCCATTGGGGGGGACAGGTGGCAGAAGCCGACCCCCCCAGGACGGGGGTGCGCTTGCACAAGTCTTGGGCGCAGCTGATGTGCCCTCAAGCTCTGGACCCTCCAGGCGCAGCCTTCTGGCCATCCCCTCCCTCCCTCCCTCGCTTCCTTCTCCACCAAGTCTTCCACCACTTTTTGAGAGACCCAGATAGCAAAGAGCAGAAGCCGAGAGTATGCCATTGAGCCCACTCGAGGCCAACGTGTTTCCTCTCTCTTAACCAGTGGCGTGAAATGCAGCTTGCTGGCGTCCGTGTCCCTGCGCTTGGAGGATGCCAGGGATGGCTTCAGCGCCCACAGCCTTACCCTTGTGGGAAAGGGTAAGTTACGCTGCATACGCTTAATGATGAATGGGGGGAGTCATCTAAATTGGCTTAGGGAAGCTTTGCTTTTCGTGCTGCGTCTCCTGCCAACGCTTTCAGGTGCGATCGCGTTCCTGTCTGAGTTCAGGAGACTCTTCTCCCTGAAGCCCGAACGTCTTTTTGGAGGGAGAGAAGAAGCAGAAGGGTTCAGAAAACCCTTCTCTGAAGCCCTTGCCCTTTCTCGCTTTATTCTGTGTTTTCTTTAAGCATCAGTAGGAGGAAAATGTCTCCTCTCCGCTGGCGGGAGAGAGAGGTTGGCCCTGCTGAACTTCAGGCGGGGCAGAGCAGGGCTCTCCGGATGCCCTCCGTTCGGAGGCTGCGTGTAGTTCATGCTTCTTTTTATTTGCCTTGCTTTGGGGCGGAGATGTGGATGTGAGAGGCAGTAGTAAGTACATAATTTGGGTCTCTGTGTGAAAATACTTGTTTTGAGGAAGAAATTCTGAAGATGCCACAATAAATTTGGCTCAGGAGAGTTCACCTTCCAGAAGGCCTTGAAAAAATGGGCTTTTCCTGCAGGAATTGGGGCCGGAATGTTAGTTGAGCTTGGTAGGCATGTTTTGGGAGGTGTGGTGGGTTAGTTTTGCTTGGAGCCTTGATTGCGTTGTGTTGTGCTTTGTCCGGTTTAGTATACAGTAATACCTCGGTTCACGAACGCTTCGGTTCATGAACAATTCGGTTCACGAACAGCACCGTTCGCAAAATTTTGCTTCCGTTCACGAGCTCTGCATCTGGTGACGAACACGACCCGCGGCCATCTTCCCTGCCATGACACGTGGTCGTGGCTTCCTGTAGGGAGGGGGCCTCTCCCTCCAAGAAAAAACCGCCTCCCCACCCGCCT